CAGATTTTGTTTTTAATTAAAAAGCCCCAATTTTTGAAACCCTAGGTTCTTGATTTGTAAATTATTGAAGGGTTATGATGTATAATATTTTAGATCTTTGATTAAAGCGTTTTAAGACTTATTTACAGCAAGTTTTAATTAAAATATAGTGCAGGAATTTTTAGTAGAACACTTAAAATCAAGTTTCTTTAAGGAATTTTTAATTACCCATTAATTGGGACTGAATTATGATGTTTTAAATATAATTTCAGCATGTTTTAATTAAATTATGAGGGGTTTTATAATAGTATATATTGCTGGAAATTTGTGTAAAGTGGATTTTAATACGCTTCTATAATTTTAAATTGTTGGAGACTTCGAAGTGATTGATTTTTACTAGTCGTGGCGATTCTAAGATCGTATATAAGGTACGTTCGCGTACTTAGCATAATTATGTTGATAAAATAGCATGCTATATGTATTTGGTTTATTACAAGTAGTATCATGCTAGGTTTGGATTGGAAATCATGATTTGGATATTATTGGTGATTGGATTGTGAAGCATGGTTTATTTGTGATGGATTATTAAATGGAAAATAATAGTTTGGAATATTATTTATGAACCACATATTTATTTATGGCATGTTAGAGAGCAAGTTTAATTAAACTAAATGTTTAATTTGGTTTGGAATATTAAAAAGGAATTTTATTATGGTTCATGTAATTTTTATTGATGCTATAAGCATGAGGAAAGAGCTATATAAGTGTCTATATACACGAGGAATAAATTGTATGTTGGTGCCTTAGTGCACTTAAGGTGTTTTTAACACCGAGGGATAGGATTTGTGGCGCTTTATGCATTTAAGGTGTCATTGGCACCGAGGTAGAATTAAAAAGGGTTCAACATTAAATATTATGTGGTCACTAATTATTCAAGAATTAAACTGGTATATTTGATTAATTTAATAATTATTGTTGATTGAATAATTATGATTGAGAGTCATCACTAAGTTTGATAATTTGTAAATAACGTAAAGTGAAAGAGATTGCGCACCAAAACTCTTGGAACGTATACACCTTGAGTATGAACATATGGGGGGAGTTATGTGACTTTATATTTGATCATAACTTCTACTGGAGTACATGACGCTGAACATTCCTTTTATTATTATTATGCGCAGGAATTCCGCCACTTACGAGTGGTTATTGATGCTGTCACGGTTAGCTCCCGTGTCAGTAACCTCAAAATTATTTGGGGGAGGTTGAGGGGGAAACCCGTTCGATGCGTAGTCAATATAATATAAATTATGTAGCGTCTAGTGAGAACTTTTATTGAATGTTGTATGCTTGAAACACAGGTGCAATAAGGAAATTTGTGTGTTGATAGGAAATTATATGTTAGTGTGTTAATTGCGCTTATGTACTCAGCTTTGCTGATTGTGTGTGTTTTGTATGTTTGTTGGTCTTGTCTTTACCTTGACCCTATGATGACCCATTTTTAATGGAGAGTAGTGGAAGCAAGTAGAGATAAGTTTTTCAGGTGATGAAGCATTTTCATGAATGGGCATGAGTGAAGAGTGAATCATGCTAGTTTCCATATATAAGTATATGAAAGTGTTATTGCTTTTAATTATTTATGACTTTATTTATTTCATGTGACTAATGAAAAAGGTTTTGGATTTCGGTTTGGATTAATAAGGGCCTACAATGGTTCCAAGTTGTAGGTTGATTTTATTTTAGTTCGTTTGACTTTGGTTTGACTTTACTTTCGTTGTTTGATTTTCAATGTTGACTTGGTTTGAAATGTTTTGAAATTAGTCTTCCGCTGTGTGTATTTGATAGTTGCCTTAACGTTATCACGGTGGCAGTAATGTCTTACATATTCATATTTAAAGTTTTAAACAGGAAAAAACAGGTATTTTAAAAGGAAGGAATTTCTAGGGTATTACATTTATAGATTCATAAGTGTTACTCCCTTCGTTTCACTTTGTTAGTCCCATATAGAATCAATCACAAAAAAAAAATAAGAGAATGAATAATATTTGGAATCTTACATTTTAGCACAAAAATTGCTTAATTAGTTGTATCTTATTAAATGTTGTGATTTTTTTATTTGGAAAGCATCAATTACAATGCTTGTTTAATGGAATTGATGACCAATCAGAATATTTAATTACCTCCCCCATCAAGTAGACATGGTCAATTTGTATGTGGTTTTTGAGGTTGATAAGTGGGAAAAGTTGAAAGTGGGGCCCATTGAATCTAATTCATCAATATTGGTAGGTAGTGGTGAAGGTGGTAATGTAAATAGGAGTGTCTTGTCATCAAAAGCGATGCCTCCCCCAAATAACACTCCTATACACACCTTGACTGTAACACCCTAGAAATTCTTTTCCTTTAAATGCACACTTTACTCCTTTTAAAATACGTTTTAGGAATATCTAAGATATTACCGCCACCGTGAAAACGGCTAAGGCAACTATCAAAGATACACAGCGGAAGACTTGAAAACCAAAACTATTTAAATAACACGATTTAAAAACCAACCTAACGAAAATAAAGTTGAAAATCAACAAAACCAAAGCCAATTAAAATCCACTACAACTTGGAACCATTTAAGGCTCTTATTCAAAACCGAACAACCAATCTTTTGTGTTAGTCCATAAAGTAATATAATAAAATATTCAATGCATAAAACACATCATATTCTAATAGAAGCTAGCATGATTCTCTCTTCACTCATGCCCCGTCATGAATATGCTTCAATACCTGAAAAATGTATCTCTACTTGCCCCCACTACTCTCCATTAAAATGGATCATCGTAGGGCCAAGATAAAGACATGGCCAGACACAAACAACACACACAATCAGCAAAGCTGAGTACATAAGCGTAATTAAACACACTAACATGCATTCTCCTATCATCACACACACTTACCTCATTGCACCTGTTTACAAGCACACACAACAATCAACAAGACACTTTAACTAGACACTAAATAATTCAATTAGCGTTGATTACGCATCGAACGGGTTTCCAACTAATCCTATCCCAATAAATTGGGGTTAACTGACACGGGAGCTAACCGTGCCAACAACAAACCTGTGCCACACATAGGTGGCGGAATTCCAGCGCATAAAAAAAAGGAATATACAGCGTCCTGTACTCCGTTAGAAGTTATGATCAAATATAAAGTCATATAACTCCCCCCCATATGTTCATACTCAAGGTATATACGTTCCAAGAGTTTTGGTGCGTAATCTCTTTCACTTTACGTTATTTACATATTATTAGACTTGGTGATGACTCTCAAGGCATAATAAGTCAATCAACAATAATTATTCAATCAAACAAATATACCAATTTAATTCTTCAATAATTAGTGACCACATAATATTTAATGTTGAACTCTTTTTAATTTTACCTCAGTGTCGAAGACACCTTAAACGCATAAAGCGCCAACAATCCTATACCTCGGTGTTAAAACACCTTAAGTGCACAAAGACACCAACATACAATTTATTCCTTGTGTACATAGACACTTATATAGCTCATTTCTCATGCTTAAAGCGTCAATAAAAATTATATGAACCATAATAAAATTTCCTTTCAATATTCCAAACATAATTAAACAATTAGTTTAATTAAACATGCTCTCTATCATGCCATAAATAAATATGTAGTCCATATAATCATGCCAAAATATAATTTTCCAATCCATAAACCATCACAAGTAATTCATGCTTCACAATTCAATCACCAACACCAATAATTCACGATTCAATACATAAACCTTAGCATGATACTACTTGTAATTGATTGAAATTAAACCTAGCATGATTCTACATCATCAAAATATGCTAAATACGCGAACGTACCTTGAATACGATCTTAAAATCGTCACGACTAGTAAAAATTGCTCACTTCGAAGTCTCCTACACATTAAAATTATAATAGAGCATTAAAACCCACTCTAAACAAATTTCCAGCAATATATACTATCCTAAAACCTCTCTTAAAATAATTTGAATAAGCTGAAATTATATTTAAAACACTCTAATTAAGTCCAACTTAATGGGTAATTTAAATTTCCTTTAAAAATATAATATTAAGTGCTCTACATAAAATTCCAGCACTTTATTTCTAATTAAAATTTGTTGTAATTTAGTCTTAAAACACTTAAATTGAAGATCTAAACATTAATTCCTCATATGCTTTCATAATTTTCATAAATCAAGGACCTAGGGTTTCAAAAATTGGGGCTTTTTAATTAAAAACCAAATCTGAAAATTAATTCATACAATTACAATTATCAAACATCAAAATTAAACCCCCAAACTCATAATTTATATTTAGATCCAAGAATAGATTCAATTAAAACAAGAAAGCTTCAATTTTTTTTATTTTATTTTTTTTTATTTTTTATTTTTATTTTTTATTTTTATATAAGGTTTGAAAAAAAGGGGAAAGGGGAAGAAGGGCGGCAGCCACCACTGGCTGTCGGCTGCTGCCGGCGGCTAATTTTTATATTACATGGCATTTTACAGGTTTTTTTTATATTACAAAACCAACTTAGTGTTCACTCTATTTTTATAATTTCTGCAGCAACAAGAGCAACAGCAGGCAGTGCACTCTGAAGCAGTGCACTGATGATCCTATGGTGGACATCTCATCTCAAGCTTCAACTATACTCGGCAGCCCTGTCCAAACAGCATACCAGCCTTGTCTAGCTAGGGGAATTGTAGTGAAGTTTGTAATGTAATTTGCAGCAAGAATACAAAAAGCTATTTCAATGTCAATGTTTTTGAGTACTTGTTGGCACTGTGATTCAACACTACTGTAACCCTTAACATTGTGATGGGTGCATATGGTTTTATTTTGACTTATTTATGAAAATTGAACATTTGCTGCCATATTATGTCTGGTATATGTTCATTGTGCTACTGCCTCATTTCATGCCTTTCTTTCCCATTCAAAACAAAATGAACAAATAAAACGCAGCATAAACTAACAACAAACTTAAATAAATTTTCTTTGCATTCATTCATTACCAAATTGGTTACATTTGATTCCAAGGGATAATACCTACCATACATTTCATTCATGCCATACTGAACATAGCATGACAGCAACTAATGAAAAAACCATGCAACACCAATTACAGCAATGAAAAAACATATGCATAAAACAGCTCCTAAATCTAAACCATTGCTTCTCATCTTCGACATCACATATTGAGTGTTCATCTTCCTTAGATTGCAATTCACATCAGCAATTTGCTTCCTAAGCATCTCATTCTCCAAGCTCACTCTTTTCTTTTCTTCTATCAACCCCAATATTATGTCTCTTTGCCACATTGTCATATCTTCATCATACCAAACAAAGTAAGTACACCCCCTCGTATTTTTCTCAGCATCAAAATCCGGACAAGCAATGAACCTTCTTCCTGGGTTTTCATTCGTCCATCACTTCATAATTGATGCAGACAACCCACACTTGCATTTCCAACCTATAATCAAAGCCATAATCCTGTACAAAATTAAAAAATAATAGTATCAATATCAAATACCATTAACTAATTACATAACAAGCTTAATTTCTAATTGAATTGAAGGAAAATTAAGAAAGCCCCAATTTTTTCATTCAATAGCAAAATCCCCAAAAATAAACCATAATTTTCGAAACCATAATTTTCGAAACCACTATAATTCCTAAGACAAAATTAAATGAATTGAATTAAGAATAAAGATGCTTAACTTACCACGATTGATGTAAACAGCAGCAGTAGTGAATTGAATTTTGGAGCAGAGCCTGCACAACAATGGAGATTGGGAATAAATCGATTTAAAAAGGGAGAATGGGGTTGTTTGGGTTAACTGGGGTTAGGAGGGGGTAAAAAGATTTTTAATTTTTTTTTTTTTTTTTTGGTGGTTAAAGCCCTTATCCATGGTCAAACATGGGTTAAAGGGGTATGATGGTGTCATAATTGGGTTTAAGGGGGGTTTGGTCGTAATTCCAACATCTTAAAATTTTTTGCGGTAGTAATTTACAAGTTTTTTAATTTGCGGCAGTAATTTACAAGGTGGTATTAATTTGCGGTAGTAATTTGCAAATTTTCCTTATTAAATTAAACTTAATAGGCCAACGCACGTGGTAGCATCATTATCATCCTTTTTTTTTTTTTTTTTTTTTTTTTTGACGAAAGCATCATTATCATCCTTAAAACAAGCTCAGAAACACAGTTGCCACCCGACTTCCAGGTGCGTGCTTCTCCAGCACGCTTCCCTCTCTTTCATTACTTAAAAAGATGTAATATCTTCACATGTCCAAGGTCAATTCAGAAAATTAACCAAACATTACCTTACCCCTATTTTTTAGTAACGTAAAGATTCAGACACCCCCGCGCCTCTTCTTACTCAACTACAAATCCTTTTTTACAAGTATCTTTATTATTACAACCACCTAATTATCAGACATTCAAACAATTAAAATACTTCTTTTTCCGAAAATACCCTTGGAATATTTTCAAAGACACAAATATTTGCTTTTACGAGGGTATTTGTGTTTTTGTGCCGTAAAAAATAGCCGTTCATTTTTTTATTTTTACCTGTAAATTTAAAATACTTTTTATTTTCTGTCACGAAAAAGTATAATACGTGAAGAAAAAGTTCAGAAAGAGGAGAGAGAAATTTTGAAGGTTGCGCATTTCGTGCCCCCCCATTTTTCTTTTCATGTCCCCTATTTTTTCGCATGGAATCCAAATTAGGGTTTTTGCATTTGTTCAGTTTTGGTTTTGATCTGTTGGATTGAAATTTGATTTACGTTAGTACATTTCTGAGAAAGAATTTAGATCGTCGCTGAATCTGGTATATGTCCTTTTTCTGTTTATTTCGATCTTCTTTAATTTTTTGTTTATTTTTTCATAATTTGTGACGAATCTTTTCTCATTTTAGGTGTTATTTTTGGATTGAATTTGGAATTTCGAGTGATCATTGCAAAATCAGATTTCGCCGAGAATTAATTGTCAATTTTAGTGGAAATTTCTTGTGGAACCAACTTTGATGTTTTGCTTTGGGCTCGAATTTTCACCGACTTGTGAGTATCACATTATAATTATTATGTTTGATTAAATTTTAGTGAATAGTATTTGGGTATTTGAAGAATGAATGTGATGTTTGATTGATTTGTAATTTTTATATGTGAATGTGAAGGTTGGATAACTTAGATCTTGAAATTGGCTCCCCAACGCCGGTCACAGCGCCACATGAGTGGCCAGATGCAACAGAGCAATGCCGCAGCAGCGGCAGCTCTGTATGATCACCCCGGTGCTGCCGGTGGGTCCCTTTATAATGGGGGTCCCACTAGTAACGATGCCGGTGATGCTGTCATGGCTCGCTGGCTCCAATCTGCCGGGTTGCAGCATCTGGCCTCTCCCTTGGCTTCCAACAATGTGCCCAATCTTCTGATGCAGGTATGCTTTTTTTGCATTTATTGTGATGATCACTTTCTGGTTAACTGTTCTCAAAAATATAATTTAATTTGGGGAGATTTGGTTTTTTAATTTTTTGAATTGGGTATATTGTTTTCGAGTTTAAAGCTATATTGACTAATTTGGAAAGACTAGTGAATTTTTAAATGGGATGCATTTCTTGTTGTTAGATACTTATTTGTTCATAGTAATGTGTCTTTCAATCAATCAAAGCCTTAAACCTATAAGTGGGGTCGGCTACATGAACCAAATTTGATTATTCCGTGTAGTCATCAACAAAGATCCTCCTCCCCCATCCCTTACGATCCAATGCCTCATCCTCATGCACATCCATATACTTTATATCCTTCCTAACTCCTTCCAACCAAGTCATTTTCGGTCTCCCAATCCCTGTGAAAATGTGTCTTTGTTTTTTTGGAAATAAATGATCAATTATGTACTTATATATTGTATGGGGGTCTTGGATTTTAAAGCTATATAGACTAATTATAGAAAGATGAGTGAATTTTAAATGTGCTTTGTCTTAGATTTTTTTTTTTTTTCATCTGATGAAAAAATGATCAATTATGTACTTGTATATTGTATGGGGGAATGTGGGGTTTCAAATAAAAATATGATTTGTTTTGATAACATATGCTGTTATAGATATTGTGTTGATTGTGGAGTTTTTAGTTTGTTAGCTAATTGTATAGTGCATTAACGGTGTTGCAGGGCTATGGGGCACAATCTATGGAGGAGAAGCAAAGGCTGTTCAAATTAATGAGAAACCTGAATTTCAATGGGGAATCTGGTTCTGAGCCATATACGCCTACAGGCCAGAGTGTTTCTGCAGATGGTTTCTATTCACCTGAGTTTCGCGGGGATTTTGGAGCTGGGCTTTTGGACCTGCATGCTATGGATGACACAGAACTTCTGTCAGAGGTATTTTCCTTGATAGCATGCGATATGGAGTTTGCAAGATGTTAATGTTATTCAGGGTGTGTCTGTATTGCTCTTTTGTGAGGCTTTGTTGTTTTATGACTTATTCTTGTGCTTTTTATTTTATTGACCAATTTTTTTTCTTCATTCTTCCTCATTTTTCAAATTATTCCTCCAGCATGTTTTCTCGGAGCCCTTTGAGCCCTCACCTTTCTTGCCGGGTTCAGCAGCTTCACTTGATGATGACAGACAGTCTAGGGGACAAGGACAGCCTGATGCAGATGCTCCTGCTTTGTCAACTGCATTTGATAAAGATACTATTCCAAAAGAAAATAATGTGGCCAAAATAAGAGTAGTTGTAAGTATTATCTGAAATGATCTTTTTAATCTAGTTTCTTGCATCTGTGAGTTCTTATGCTATTGTCATTAAAGCGTGTTTTGAGTCTTTTCCTTTTTTTCTTTTATTGAAGCAAATAAGTGCTCTCATGATTTTTTATATATATGACTTAATATGTTGTCCTGTTTCCTCACTGGATTGTTGTTCCCATAATTTGAATGCGGGTATATTGGGCTTGCAAATGGTAAATGGTTGCCTATGTATCTCAAATGGCATTGCTAAAAGTAATGGGGGAATTGTGAACGTGCTAAACTAACGTATTTGATAACCCATACAAATATACAATTAACAATAATGAATTCAATCTAGCAAACAGCCAATTAAAATAGAGATAAATATAACTTATAAAAATACAATAGAGATAAATAAAATAGAGATAAATATAACTTATAAAAATACAAGGAAAGTTTTTTTTTTTCGTTAGAAATAGGGAATGCAAGTGTTGGGACAAAACCCACCAATACATTATGGAGAAATTCAAATGGATATAGATGATGAATTATAAGATTTTATTCTTATGAAAACTCACTCACCCTTAGGGATGTGCTATGAAACCGAATCCAAATTCTAAACCCAAACATGAATATCAGATTATGATAATTGAGCTGAAATTTCGGTTTGGGTTGGAATTCTTTTTAAAACTGATTCTCTCCTGGATTGGGGATGTGGATATTTTAGGGTATTTAATATGGATTGATTATAAATTAAATGTATTGATATTATGTGTTAAATCCAAATTGCGCTACCACCCTCTCCAAAGCCCCATGAGTATGACCTATGCTCAAATCCAATCACCACTCTTATGTCCCTATTGATCAACTTTTAAATTATCTGCCCGAAACCCTACAAATAAATACTTGTTTATGGATAAAATAAACCCTTTTGTAAATAGATTTATGGAATCCCAAGCAATGACAAAAGTAAACTTTTCCGAGGAGACGATGTAGAGGTTTTTGGCTAGAATGGTATGTTTCTTTTTATGAATAGGTGAGAGGGGCCAGTGGGCAAATTAAATAGGCTGATGAAGTGTAATTTGCTTACATGCAATAGGTCTACTACTGAGAGCAATGTAGAGGTCATTCCCTAGAATGCTACTTTTCTTAATAATGTATACAACTTGTCTTTGCACTTGTGTCCAAACATTAGGCAGTATCTTGTGCTTGAAATTTGGATTCTTGATAAGTAGGCTACTTAGATCTGTGTCTATATTTGATATCCATGCTCCAGTCTAAGTAACACAATTCATAATATTAGTGCTATAAAGTTGATGAAGAAGATTGACTATTAGTCTGCATGTTTTCCTGTGGTAATCTAATGTAAATGCGCACAAATAGATTGTTGGGTTTAGTTATTATTTTTTTGCATTGTGCTCATGCATGTTAAGAAATCTAATTCTTATGGCCAACGAATTTACGTCAGCAAGATTTATGTGAGTTTTTAGCGTTTCTTGTATATTTTGTAGACAGACATTGTATGCAGCACAGTTCCTTTTTACGAAGTTTTAGAGAAGCCAATTATGAATTCATGCTAGGATAGTATATAATTTTTGAAGCTGTTGTAGATGCCTTCAGTAGATAATTATATTGTCCTGTCGTGGGCTGCTTGCTAATACAGATGCCTGGATTCTCCCTAAGCTTGCTGTTAACAATGATATATTTGCGTAAATTGATATAAGCCTGTAACTGTTTATAAGTTGTGTGTAATGTTATGTCGTCTTTTATCCATTTTAAGGGATATGTGGGATCTCTAAAGGCTATGTTTATGTTATTAGGTGCGCAAAAGGCCTTTGAACAAAAAGGAGCTTACTCGAAAGGAAGATGATGTAGTTACTGTTTACGACAATGCTTTGACTGTTCATGAACCCAAATTGAAGGTATCTATATTTTTGTATGCAGTGACAACTTGAGATTAGCTTTGTATTGGGTAAAGTTGACTGTGGGTTTTAGTGTTTTATTGTTTACTATTTCTGTCCTTGATATTATTCTATTTTTAGTTGTGAAATCACTAATTCTATATTTGCCTCATATGAAAGGTGGACTTAACAGCATATGTTGAGAAGCATGAATTTTGTTTTGATGCTGTTCTGGATGAGCATGTAACAAATGATGAGGTATTCCATTTTTCGAATTTTAAGTATTTTGGTTATACTAGTGGACATATAGTAAAGCTCATCTGTATTCTGTTTTCGTTATTCCTCATTTCTTTTTCCGTCAGGTATATCGTGGTACAGTTGAACCAATCATTCCAACCATATTTCAGCGCACAAAGGCAACATGCTTTGCATATGGTCAAACTGGTATGTATGGTTTCTCTTCTCTGTTTACTTGTATGCAATGTGAAATATAGGATTGTTTTCGTTTTTTTTTGTCAGTTTTCCTCATGCAAGTTTGAATTATAGTATTGTTTTTTTTTTTTTTTTTTTTTTTTTTTTAATCAACTCTTCAGAGTTTGTGATATAATAAAATTGGTCTCTGTTCGTCAAGATCTCCACTTCTGGTACTTTAGTGGGCTGTAGTGGGAGCATCTTCTTAGGGATTATTTGTTGTGACTTTCTTTGCTGGATTAATATACCAGAGGATAGACTTGTAGTTCTAACTTATTGTAAGTTTTCACACTTCGGAGCTTAAGCATTGAATGGTGGAGATCTTACGGAAATGAAATGATCCTTCGAGCGAGTAAGCAAGAACGAGGGAGCATTATTGCTGGAAGCAGCTTTCCTGTGCTCAGTCTATGGGGTTGCTGATATACAAAGGAGGGTGGGAGCTTTGAGGGGTTAGGGAGGAAACAATTCTTGTTATTGTAATTCAAAGTATTAAATAGTTATGTAAAGTTTTAAAAAAAAATTCTCTTCCAAGGCAAAACTCTGATCTATGTTCTGATATACAAGGGAGATGTATAGTTTTTTGTTTTTTATGTTTTGGATGATCGATTACCTGTGATGTAACAAATCATTCTGTATCTAATTTTCAGGTAGTGGTAAGACATTTACCATGAAACCTTTACCTATCAGAGCTGCTGAAGATCTTCTGAGACTGTTGCACCAGCCTGTTTATCGTAATCAAAGATTCAAATTGTGGCTCAGTTACTTTGAGATCTATGGGGGCAAATTGTTTGACCTCTTATGTGACAGAAAGTATGGTTCATACATGTTAATTCACTTCTTACTCGTGTTCCATTTTGGGATAGTTGGATGGGTTACTTTATGTCTTTGTATACCTTGCTATTTGCTTCACTTTTTTACAAACTAGTTGTGGTTTGTGACGTTTGGCTGATAATTGTTCTCTTTTAAATTAAATCTTATTTAGAAAACTGCTTTGTGCGCTTTAGTATGATTTTGCTGCAATGGATGTTGGTTTGTTTTTCAGCATGTCCTATTTGGAAAAGGCAATGAAAATTATCTTCTTTTTGTGATATCAACTAGTGTACTGTTAACTTCTACACTACCTATTAAATCCGTATATTATCAGATAAAATGCATTATATTTGAGAGTTTTATGTTGATAATTATTCTAGTTGGCATTATTGCATTATTTTTTGAAAAGTGGCAGATGTACTTACTGAATGAGCAATTTTCTCTGTAGGAAACTCTGTATGAGGGAAGATGGACGGCAGCAGGTCTGCATTGTCGGACTGCAGGAGTTTGAAGTTTGTGATGTGCAAATAGTTAAAGAGTATATTGATAGAGGGAGTGGAGCAAGAAGTACTGGTACCACAGGGGCCAATGAAGAATCTTCAAGGTCACATGCTATCCTTCAGCTTGTTGTGAAAAAGCACACTGAAGTAAAGGACACAAGACGAAATAATGAAGTTAATGAAGCCAAGATTGGGAAGGTGGTTGGAAAAATTTCCTTCATTGATTTGGCTGGAAGTGAAAGAGGGGCAGATACAACTGATAATGATCGACAAACAAGGTGCTTTTCCCACAAAATCTCTTTGCTTCCGTCTTTGGTCCTCATGAAGTGGCAACAAGGACAAAACAATAGTTTTGTTGATAAAAATGAATACAGTGTTGTCCTGCGATGGAGGTCATTTAGTTCCTATTTTAATACTAAGTCTACTACTCATTACTGCTTGTAGTTCCATCTGTATTTTTTTGTTGGCATACCACATTTTAGGCCGTTAAAGTCGGGAGAATTAGAAATTTTGAATATATAAAACATATTAGACTGATATCCTTTTCTGCTTTTCAAATATTTGTTCTTGTTGCTTATGATGTTTATTGTCACTTTCTTGGTTGACTTGTTTCAGGATTGAGGGAGCTGAGATTAATAAGAGTCTTTTGGCTCTCAAGGAGTGCATTCGGGCACTTGACAACGACCAACTTCATATTCCATTTCGAGGGAGTAAACTCACTGAGGTTCTTCGTGACTCATTTGTTGGCAACTCTAAGACTGTTATGATTTCTTGCATTTCTCCAAATGCTGGATCATGTGAACATACCCTTAATACTCTAAGATATGCAGATAGGTACTTAGGATTTCATTCAGTTTTGTGATTATGTGTTTCTAATTGCATATATCTTAATTACAATTTTCATTGTTGATTTGAATGGACAGGGTAAAAAGTCTCTCGAAAAGTGGGAATCTAAAAAAGGATTCGTTGCAGAGTTCACTACCAACTGTAAATAAGGAATCTTCGTCCATGCCAAGCGCACAAGTTTTCACAGATGTTGAGGCTGTTCAGGAGCGTGCAGAGGCTAGAGGAGCTGTTGTCAGTAGAAAAGCAGTAGAGAAGGAAAACTTTTCCTACAACCCTCCATCTGATTTTCCAAGTTACAGCTACAATGGAAGGAGTGTGAATAGTGCTGCTTCTGGATCAAGTGATGGAGATAAATTTGAGAGGAAAAATACTTTTGTTGGTTCTACTAGTCAAAAGAGTTACTCATCATCTGCCCAGAATTCTGCTGATATGGAAGAAAACATTCAGAAGGCATCCCCTCCTCGCAGAAAAATCTCAAGTAGGGATGACAAGACAGAAAAACTTGGGACCTGGCTTAAGAAAGATGGGGTTGGGCCTGATCCATCAACCATAACTCACAGATCTCATAATATGAGTGCTGCAAATGCAAACAGTGTTTCATCGAGGCATAGTGAACCTGAAACTGTTGCGAATGATGGAGATATTGATGCGATACTAGAGGTTGGTTTTCCACGATTTTGATCAGTATCCCTTTATCACTATTTACAGCTTTGGTTTGATGTCAAATTGCAATCTTTTACCTATTTTGACACTAGCTGAAAGTCTCTTTCTTGCTTGCTGTATTTTATTTTGCATTTCTCAAGTGTTTATGTCAATCTGTTTCAATTTTTGGTAGGAGGAAGAAGCACTTATTGCCGCACATCGAAAGGAGATAGAAGATACAATGGAGATTGTCCGTGAAGTATGTATCTTTACAGTTGTAAAGCTTTTAGTAAAGAGCTTTTGTTTAAAAAGCATTTATGTTATTCGTTATTTTTTACTACGTAAATTGGTTTGATTGGGAAATAAATTTTATGGATTACAAAATTGTTCTTCGTAAGCATATTCTTTTACAAAAGACGACAAAAAGAGAAAGCTAGAAACAAAAAAACCTTGGATGGTGTTTGCAAATAGACAGCTAATATTTTCCAGCTTTACACTGTGTGATTGTGTATTCACTATTACATGGGAGGGCATTTAAAGTTGATGGGAGGTGTTGAAGGTTATGTAGGGTGATTAAAACCTTTGTTACTTCCATTTTTCATATTTAGCCTAAAGTTTAGGGTATATCTAGCATATAAACAATTTGCTTGTGAATTTTAGTGTCATGTCCAATCTTAATTTTCTCCAGAACATAGTTTAGTAAGAGATAAATTCTGTTTCTATTCTGTTGCAACATCCTTAAAATTAACACATTGAAGTTAAGAAAATTGAAGTACGCATTGAAGTTTGAAAGAAGGAAGTAGCTCTTAATGAATAAACTAATAGGATTAACTTCTACAATGTGCAGTAACTGCAGCTATTTCTTTTATATGCTACAGGAAATGAAGCTTTTGGCAGAAGTTGAGCAACCAGGGAGTCGAATCGACAATTATGTTGCACAACTGAGTTTTGTTCTCTCACGGAAGGCTGCAGGTCTAGTTAGCCTGCAGGCTCGGCTTGCCAGATTTCAGCACCGGCTTAAAGAGCAGGAAATTCTTAGCCGAAAGAGAGTTCCACATTAACCATGTTTCTCTTGTCAACACACCTCACTTTGAACATTCAAAAAGAGTTATTTCATGTTGATATGGTACCCAACTTTGTTGCACTGGTGTAGTCAAGAAGCTGTGATGTTACATCTCACAAGCGTGTGTCATGTCCAAGCTTCTGCCCAAGAGAACTTTGTGGAAAGATTTGTGTTTTTTGTGAAAGATATTCATGTAGTCAATTGTATTATTTTAGTGAAGTCTGATATGATGATAGACGGGCTGTGGTCTGGCTGAAGAAGGGTGATAGGGGGAGATGATTACACAACACTCGCGTTTTAGTTTGAGAAGTGGAAGAAATGCTTTTATTGTTCTGTTCTTTAATTCATTGAATTCCAAAATTTCTTGTAATTTGCATATAACAACAATGATAGGAAATAAAATTGGTGAACCATAACTAGAGCTGATAAGTTCTATTCCTGTTCTTAAATTTGCTGGGTTGCACCAGGAAGGCCGAGATTTACATGCTGCGACAGCAAATGGTTATGTTTTTGTTGCAAGAACATGCAAGGGGCTTCAAAAATCATATACTTGGGTGTGCAGTTCTTAACTTTGTAACCACATTAGAGTGGAAATGCAGCAAAAACTCTTCAATTGATTATTTTGGGTACTTGTTATTAAAAACTAACACGAGTACAATTTTTTCTTTTATAAAAAAAGGAAAACATACAAAATCAATTAAAAGAAATCTAGCATTTTATTATTATCTAAAAAAGAGAAAATACAAGTTTAACAATTTGATATATTTGTAAATAAGTAACAAAAACAACAATGTCCAAGGAAGAACGGCTAGTAGTGTTAGTTGTTTTACCATGAACAATGGTTTTTTTTTTTTTTTTTTTTTTTTTTTTTTTTTTTATTTTTTGTTTTTTGATTTTTTTTTTTGTATGTGTGTGTGTGTGTACTATTCATGATGTTTAGGCAAATTTTAGTAAGGTAATCTTAGGAATTTGCTTAAGGTTTAAGGGGTAATTACAATCATAGCCATAACATCAATTATAATAACCAAGAGTAAATATAAAGCAATAAACAAGTAATCCAAATATTATAAGAGAGTTTAGAGATACAATATTGAATAAAGATAGGCTCCTTGATCAGAATAGACAATAGATCCGTAAGAATTAATCAAGAACTTGCTAACACATTTTGTATTAATGTATGAGTATGCGTATGAGAGTGTTACAATGCTAGGTTTAGCTATATATCTAGGGGTTCCTAGGTTTCATATGAATATTCAGAGTATATTCAAAAGACAAGATCTTTTGATTTTGTTCTTCTTTCATTCTGCAGCTCGGGTATCTTTGGCATATTCCCAACTGATTGATTCTTTGATCTTCTTGCCATACTTGTATCAATCAAGCTATCTTGGTTGATCTTTGATTTATTTGACCTATTTTCGGTCACTTGGCTATGCCCTACGATTTATGGGCTTCTTCAGAGTATGGGCCCAACAATTGCCCTAATTTCTATGTTCAAGTATTTGAAGATGGAAGTAATAAAACATGTCGTTGGATTATTTTAAAATTTGGAAGTTTTTTCTTACAACGGTTAACAAAAATAGGGAGTGGGTGACGTTTATTACGCAAGTACTTGGGAGTCGTGACCGACGATTTGTCTCCTTGAAGTATTTATCGGGTGTGCAGGCTTCAATGAAATCACTTTACTCTTTGCCCCAATTCGAACTTCTTTCTCAGGTATTTCTCTTTCCTCTTTGTTTTATTTTTTCTGTTTCTTTTGCATTTTCTACGATGAGTGACATGGTGAGAGTGGTGTTTGCTGAGGAAGGTGTAAAGAATGAAGCCGATTTTTGTTGCGCAGAACGTATTCCTGTTAAGGAAATTTATCCTTCTCAACCGACGAAGGATGATGTGAGGAAATTGCTACTGTTGCACGCTTTCCCGATGGGGTGGTGGTGAAGATTATATCTTCTAAAGGGAGGGCAGACTGGACTACCCCTGGCTGCTGGGTGTGTTTAACTTGGAGGGTTTTGCGAGTTCTTGATTTGCTGAGTGCGAAGTTGGGTATCTCGCTGGATGTGAAGGATCTTTGCTATCCCTACACTATTAGGACCAGTGGTAAGGGCCGGGTTACTCTATGTTTGAAGGATGGTGTTGATCGTTTGGTGACAAAATTGGAGCAGGCTTTTAATAAGAAGTGGTATCATAGGTTATTTGTGAGGATTGATTCTTTTGGTGGAGATACCAGTTTCTTAATTGACACTATTGAGGCTGAAGGTTTTTTTAATTTCTGATTTTGTGTTGATTTTCCTTCTTTGTTGATTTGGGCTTATTTACGTTTTATTTGCAGTGAGTAAGTTGAAGCACCACACTGAATCTCAGCCCTTGGTTAATCGTTTGTACAAGTTGAGTTTTGTCGAGAGATCCTTCGTAAGTTGACACAACCCGAAGCAGTTGTACAAATCGAGAACTTAGACGAGTGGGAATCTGACGAAGAAATTGCCCCTGCTTTGTCTATGTTGTTTTGACATACTTGGTCTGTGTATGTTTAGCGTAATGTATAGCTTTGCTTGTGTTGTGTGTTGGTTGTCTTATTATGCTATGTATTCTTCAAGGTCGTGGCTCTGAATTGTCCTGTTAAACTGATTTTGGTTTTGTTCGTTGCACTTTGTTTCTTTAGATATTGCTAGTTCGTTGAGGTCCCATGATTTGCTTAGTTCGTCATCTATCTTGGGGCGTATTAAACAGAAGGCTTCTAAAGCTGGGGAGGACATTCTTGAGAAGGGTCTTGTAATGAAAAGGGCTCTTTTTCCTCCTTCGCCCCATGCTTCTGGTGTAAAGAGGAACTTTGAAGTCCTTGCTGATTTTGATGCCTTGAGTTTCTCCTATGAGACTTTGGCTCCTTATGCAGATAACTTGTTGTTCCCTTTGTTTAAAGAACGTCAATCCTTGTAGACTTTTTGTCGACCTTTCTCAGGAGGCTGTTGTGCACTCTTTTCCAATATGGTATACTCCCCAAAAAAAATTCTTTAGACAGACACGAGGAAATTACTTGATCCTTGCTAATGTTACTCATGTCTATTCAGAGTCTTCAATCTTTCTTAGGGGTGTTGAGTAAGGTGTCAGAGTTCTCCAGGGCTTTTGAAGTCATGAAGAAGGAACGTGACTCTCTCTCTGATAAGTTTAAGGCGGCTTCCGAAGCTTTGAAGAGTGAACAAACTAAGTACAAGGATTATCGTGTTGAGTTTGATGAGACAAAAGGCACTTTGAAGTCTGCTGCGAATGAATCTCTTGATATGGCAAGCTACTACTTTGGCAAGGCTCGTTTGGAGATGATAGAGGAGTATCAGCAAGACAAACATGAGGCATGGGATTATGCTACAGAGAAGGTTGCCTTTGCAATGTCTTTCCCTGATGGAGTTGTCGCTCCAGGCTCCCTGTTGCTGAGCTATGCTAATGAAGAGGTGAATTCTCCGGCCAAAACGACGACGTGAAGGTTTCTCCAGAAGAAGAGAAGGTCCTTGATGACAAGACTGGAGGAAATTAGCTTTGCAGTGTCATTCCCTCAGTTTTTCAGAATAATTCGTTTTATATTTCTTAGTATTTATAGTATTACTGCCTAAGTGTAGTGGGATATTTATTTTCTTTTGCTTTTTTGCTGCCTTGTCGTAGCTGGATGCTTTGTTTGTTTTGTTGCTTTGCGCACTTAAGTAATTTTATATTTTATATATCTTGTTTGTTGTTTCTATCTTGCTTCAATGTATCCCTGTTGCATTACAGTTAGGATGCGGTGTTGCTTTCATGCTTTCCTTGTTTGAAGTTTGTGACTCGTATGTTCCCTATTATGTAGGGGGCGTTTGGTGCCTTGTTGCTTTCTGTACTGTAGTGGCTTCCTTGCAAAACAGGAAAAGGTCAGGGGTGGCCTTGGGTTTCTCTAACGGCCCTCCGATGCTTAAGTCAGTACTCGTAGTTCAAATAAACTTAATTGACTAAGTGTTAGATAGAAAAATGTACCTTTTTACGTTGTATGTACTTGGAATACTTTCTAGGTGGGCCTTCTTTTTCAGGGAGTGTTTGCATAGAAAATGTGAAGGGAAGGATTTGCATAAAAGTGTAAAGGAGGGGGGGGGGGGGGAGACTTCGTACCTTTCTCAAGTCTTGACTATTTTGGTTCTTGCGTACCTTAGAAATGGTAAAGCTTTATATGTGTTGCGTTCTAGCTTTGTATGACTTCTTTCCTTTCTGCATTCCTTAGTCTGTATGCTCTGTTGCCTACTACTTTTATAATTTCGTATAGCCCTTCCTAGTTGGTGCTAATTTTCCAACATTCACTTCCCTTGTGTTTTCGTATACCTTTCTAAGGACCTAATCTCCTATCTTGAAGTTTTTTATTCTTATGTTTTTGTTGAAGCTTCTTGCAACTTCTTGTTGGTAGACTGCCATTCTCATCTTTGCGTCTTCCCTGATTTCTTTGATGGTGTCAGTAGGGAATATTTCAAGCATCCCACACTTGAGCCCCACTGTGATCATACACTTAAGTATGGTGGCGTCCAAAGAGAAGGAAGCTAGAGTAAAAGAGTCGCCAACAAGTTTAAGGAACTTGTAAATCGTTCATAGGGTGAAGGTTACACCCCTTCACGATCTATGAGATCACTAACTTCATAGTGGTCTGGAACCATGACTGGATATTCGGGGATGAAGGTACAAATCCAACCTAAAAGAGATTGAACCTGCCCTAAAATAAGCCTATACTTCATTCTTCTCATATTCATGTGCGCCATCTGACTAACATACAAACAATATATTAATCCTAAACCTGTTTAATCTTTTTTGGTTGAATATTAATGCACAAATAAATCTATTATTGGTGACCACTTGAATTAAAATCATATTAGCCTAAATAAAATTATTAATTATCTTATTAAGCGTGATTTCAAGTACAAATTCCCTTTAATCCTGCAAGAGAGGGCGTGATCAAGCAATAACAACAATATATCAAGCAACATAATCACAAAGATCATCATCATCATTATAATAATTTCAATAAAGCACAATAATATCATCAAAGCATAATAATATTAGCAAGATCCTAGGCACGATACTAACAAGATTAATAACAAACCCTAGCATGTCACTAATCAATAAAGATCAAAGCTTTATCCCTAACATGATACTAGCATGATAGAAGAAAATAAGAAGCAACCTAATCATGATACCATAAACATACATCTTATTAGGAATATTAGTTATTACCCTAAACATGATACTAGGAATCATAACAACATCCTAACATGCTACTAGGAATTAAAATAATCTAAGCATGATTCCTAAAGAAATAGAGCAATAAAACAACTTACTTTGTTTCCTCAGCTCTTATCTCTTTCTATCAAAACAATATACTGTAGACACCTAAAAATGTCTCCCCAAAACCAAACCCGATGATGAACAACATTTCACTGCCATTATTGGTCGGGTTGAGAATTTAATCTTGAACTACTTAAATCCATATTTCCATTTCATCAAACAACCCAACTTCTAGCCCATTTCCTCAAACCATAACTTATTTTCCTCTTTTCGTGCCTTTAAACCCAAAATAATTCATTTCGCGTCCTTTAAAATCATTCATTTTGTGTCCTATTTATAAAAATGTTTATCCCAGTTTATTTTGATCCATAATCTTGGTCTAATGATTAATTAGTTGGATGGGGATTTAAAAGAGCTTTCCAATGATATATTATAAGCCCAAATTCGAGTTATAACGAGTAAGTTATGGCCAAAATATTAAACTGAGCCCAAACCGAACCTAAGCCCACCTTACCTGCGACCCAATGATCATGTGGAGGGTCTAAATGATTTAATCCCATTCCTAAACCAATTAGGATTAATTGGAAACTTATATAAGTTTCTAAAAAATCTTAATTATCCTTTTTGAAAAGATAAGATTAAAGAGTTTGAAATTGAATAAAACTCCTTTTTTGAAAGTCCTAATTTTATTCGAATTGAAAGACATTCAAAGATAGATAGATATGATTTTCGTGCCTCATATTTTTTTATCCAAATTTTATATGGTTGGATATCCCTTGAAATTATCTTTCCAATAATATATTATAATATCAATTCCGAGCTATAACGGAAAAGATATGAATAAAATGTCAAACTCTATCCAAAACTGATACCATCTCACTATTTCGGCCATATCTTTTATTGTATAAAATATTTTAATCTGATTCTAATTCGGTTAGAAATTAGAATTCAAGAACTTTCCAACAATATCTTATTAAACTTATTCCGATTTCTGGATCAAAAGATATGATAAAAACAAAAACCGCAAAAACTGCTGTCTATCGAGTTTTATTCCGATTTAATTCGGATCTTATCTTGTTTTTTCGACCCTTCTTTTGTTCTCTATAAATAGAGGTCATATTTCCCCTTTTTCAATCATCAACAAGCTTGATCATCAAATAATTCTCTTCTCCCTCTTTAGCCTAAATACTAGCCTCCCCATTCTTTTACTATTCCTTCCTTTAAGCACTCCAAGGAATCCATACAACACCCGAGGTTCCGTCCTTAAACCAAGGCGTGAAAGGTACCAATAACTGAGGGTTTGGACCAAATAAAATCTACATTTATTTAATTTAATTTTCATTTGATTTATTTTAATTGAAGTTACTAACAGTTTATTCATGATGTAACAATTCAAGGAAACGCGGAAAGTGAGTAATTAATCACTTAATTACTCTTATTTTTATTCTTATTGCTAGTATCATGATTAGGGTTATTTTATATTTGATTTGACTAACGCTATTATTGTTAAATTGCTTCCAATATTATGTTTATTCTATTGTTATTATGATCGCTATATTTCATGTTTAAAGGGAATATGTAATTGAAAATCACGCCTAATAAGATAATTTGGACAACCGGTTTAGGTTCCTTTTTAATCTTGTTATTTAATTCTAGTGATCACAAATATTTTAGAATTATGTGTTGCATTAATATTTAAACAATTTAGCTTAATAATAGTTTGGAGCAAATTGAATATTTTGTTTGCATGCCTTTGAGATCACATGAATCACTTTTCACTATAAGAATCGAGTAGAGGCCAATACTGGCGAATGTGACTCCATGACTCACTTCATACAATCATCCCCGATTCTCCTTTCGTGGTCAGAACCATATGGAGTTATTAATCTCATGGATTATGAATGGGGTGTAACCTTCACGGGTAAATTGTTATTGCCTATCGTTGTCCCTTAATCGTGGTTGCCTTTTTATGATCCGCGAACGGTTTACAAGTTCCTTAAAAACTTGTTGGCGACTCCCTACTTTGCTTTGTCCCTAATCGTATTATGTCAATTCCCACTTCCTATGAGTGCCAAGCATATTTACAACATGCTTTAACGTAGGCGCACTTCGAGCGACGCCTACAATTTGGCGACTCCACTGGGGAGGATTCTTGGTTACATATCGATTTGAGTGATCAGTATTTAATTAAGATGAGTGGATGAGACTTGAAAGATTCTTGAATTGTATTCTTGCAGTTTAATTGGCATTGTCACATATGCATATGCTTTTTAGGTTACTTTTTTTTGCCACAATAGTACGTGTTCTACATATGTGGCTAGCCCGGGGGATTTAAGCTCTATCAACCCAAAACGCTCATGACAATAAGGGTTATAAACGATATACTACAGCCTATCAAGTTTAGGTGTAGTGAAACCTATGGATCTATAGCCCCGAGTTTTATCTTTCATTTGGAATTGGTTTCGTCCCAATCAGAGTCACAGATCAAAAGTTATAAACGATATACTACAGCCTATCCAGTTTAAGTGTCTTTTTAGCGTCAATTTTTTTTTTTAATTTTTTAATTTTTTTTTTTATAACTTTTCGTGTCAAGCTAGTCTTAGCCAAGTCCTTTAATCCGTGTAAACTCATATAGCATAGGATTATAGATTTATTTATTTATTTATTTATTTATTTATTTTTATGCCCATGAGTCCTAACTCTTCTAGAATTCTAGTCCTCTTCTTAGTTTCTTGTGATCGATTTTTGTGCTAATTAATCTTAACATGTGTTCTTTGTCTTTGATTGTGGTTGATCTTATTTATGACTAATGATTGCCAATGGACCTTTTTCACCTAGTAAATAGCATAAACTTTAAAATTGGACAAAATTAATCAAGTTAGTTTGTCTTTTAGTCTTCCGTGCTATTTGGTCATTGGGTCCTTTGTTTTTCACAACGTCCTCATGTCTAGCTATGCGATCATGCCACCGGTCTTAATAAACTCATCTAATCTCACATGTTGAGTCATTGCACACACTTTGTATTCGAGTAATGCACTATATTGTTTATGATCGTATACTAGGACCATGCATGTGTTGTCTTCCGTCGTAATAGGAATGAGTGGAGTATTCCCCATTGGTTTTCAAAACTCTTTCATACACTCTTCCTTTCCAATCCGAGTATTGAGTCAATGCATTAAGTGAGCTCATTTTGTTCCATTTTACTCGAGTTCAAGAATCACTAGTTAAGAGTTGGAAGAATAAGGGGAACGTCATTCCTTCCTTCTTTTCTTCCAATCAAAGCATCAACAATAACAAACTTTGTGTTCCTCTTGGTGGTAACAAGTAATTCATAGGCAACCATGAAGACGAAGCACAAGAAAAGTTCCCATACAAGATTTCATGCTTTTTTTTTTTCCTTTCGTTTCAACCCTCCCCCCTAAA